TCCCTCCTGGGCAACAGCCGTAGCCCTGGCACATCTCTAAGCATGAGTATCCTCTCCTTACTCCTGCCTTTGGAATAGGAAGCACCTCTTGTTCAGATAGTGACTAATCCAGAAGGGAGTGATGAGGGCTGTGGCATGGCTGGTGCAAAATAGGTCCTTTCTAGGACGCTAACACATGGGAAATGAGAAGGTGGTGAATGAGTCAAAGATGCCTGATGCTGGAGAGTAACTTTGGAAGTATAATTCAGATTTGCTGAACCCTTGAAAGAAAAGCTTTTCTGAGAAAACTGTCTTTGAGTTGCTTGCCTATCCTTCCAGGCTTAATGCCAGGAATTCTATCTAATAAAGAGGGAATATGCTAATTAACCCCCATGCCATCACAAAGATGGTGGCGCCAATAAGCGTATCATAAGGCACGCGTATCATAAGGCAAGCGTATCATAAGGCCAATAAGGAGGGAATATGCTAACTGACTGCCCCGTCCTCAAAGATGGCAGCGGCCACAGCCACAAGATGGCGGCGCCCAGTCCCCTCAGCCCCCCAGCCACCTAGGGCCAGCCCGAGGCTCAGGTAACCAGGGCCAGCCAAGGCTTGCGCTGCCGGCAGTGGCAGCAGCAGAGGTGTGATGGGGCATTGCCTTCCCCTGGTCACCGGGCCACCTCCTGCCCCTGAGGGTTCTGGGACTGTGAGAGGGGGCAGGCCAGGCTGAGGGACACCGCCCCCCTCCAGTGCATGAATTTTCATGCACCGGGCCTCTAGTATTCATATAAAAACAAAGAATTGTTGCTTACTTCCTAAACCCCCAGTTCACCACTTTAGCTAAGATTCTCTCCTTTTCAGCCAGACCCCTTCGTAATTTCCTATACCCATTGGACTAGTTATTAAAAAGTCGAACATTTCTTAGAATGTTAAAATAGACATTTATACAGACAATAATGGGTTTTATATCTGAATGAATCAAACATGGATTTTGGAAATAAGAGCACCTCAAGAGGGTCTTAAGATTTTTTAAGAGTATTAATGTCACTTGTAAAGTACTATTAACAGGTATGAATACAGTTACTAAACAAAGTGTTTATTTGGAGACTGAATACATTCTTTTAAATAAAAATGAGAACACTTTTGATTGTTTAAAACAGTCCTTGCCCTAACGGGTTTGGCTCAGTGGATAGAGTGTCAGCCTGCGGACTGAAGGGTCCCAGGTTCGATTCCAGTCAAGGGCATGTACCTTGGTTGCAGGCACATCCCCAGTAGGGGGTGTGCAGGAGGCAGCTGATCGATGTTTCTCTCTCATCAATGTTTCTAACTCTCTATCCCTCTCCCTTCCTCTCTGTAGAAATCAATAAAATATATTTTAAAAAAACAAACAAAAACAAAAACAGTCCTCAATGACATCCCTGAGGAAGGATTCAAGAAAATGATCTTTTTCTGTACACATACGATTTTGAAAAAAGACATTTTCCAAGTTGAATGTCCTGAGATTAATATTAAACAAGGCAAATTAAATCTCATGGGAACACCAATATTTAAATATATTTACCTGTTCCCTATTAACCACGACTTTCAGAGGGACCACTAACGTCTAAGCCAATCTCTATTCTTACTCCTTTTAGAGGATATTAAGATGATGATTTTGTGTTTTTAAGCAAAAGCCATCATAAGAAAAGTTTGAAATACTGTTTTAGTCCATTTCGAGTGACGGGTCTTTTCTTTTACCCCCTCCAAGGCAAGGCATAAAAATTGCCTGTTTATAAGCGTATCATAACCTGATGTGCAATGCTGTTCACCTAATTGGAGGAGAGTGTGAGCTATGGTTTAGAACCCCAGAATAATTTTTGCTGGTTACTGTAGTTAAAGCTTAAGCAGTAGCAGAAGCTTTTAATAATTCTACCCACAAGGAAACAGACCCTACAATCTGCTCAACTCTTTGGTTTCTGTGGTAACTACCGGCAACAGGGCCCATTAAACTTGGTCAAATCCAGACCAAACCCAAATGGACACCATACAGATGTCTTACTATCAGAAGAGAATGAAGGCAAGGAATGAGCCCTTCTTGGGTCTTGGGTTTGCTTCCAGTTGCTTCTTTGATTGGATAATCAGAAGATCTTAATATGCTAGAGTGAAACATGCTGGAGTGAAAGTCGATCCATTTTCCATATTCACAAGCCACCAAGTGCTCTTCCTTTAGGCCTCTGAACCACTTATTTTGCCTTTTCGATGAGCCTTCCAAGTGCTCATAGAAAAGGCTGCCTCCTGAGCAACAGCCATAGCCCTGGCACATCCCTGACCTGGGGTATTCCCTCCTACTCCTGCCTTTGGAATAGGTAACACCTCTTGCTCAGGTAGTGACTGCTCCAGAAGGGGGTGATGAGAGCTGTGGCATGGCTTGTGTAAAAGGTATGTTCTCTTACTATGTCCTGCTTTCTCCCTTCACTTATTCCTTTGCTATGCTTCTCGTGCTTGAACTTGCTGTACTTGTACACTCTTGCCTTGCTCTAATAGCTGGCTCAGGTCCCGCAGTGTCCATGAAGTCTTCCTTGACCATCCTGTCCACAGTGACCTCTCAAGGGACAATGACATAAGTACCCTGGAGAATCAGTTGTCCTTTCAAGTATGTATGTCTTATCTCTCTAGCAAGATAGTACCTAAGCTCTTTGGGAAAGGCCTTGGGACCTCCTAGAGTTCCAAGCACTGAGTTGGATGAGCATACAGTAGGCCTTATATTTGCAGTCAGAATCACATGACTGATATCTCACAGAGAAAAACAGACAAAAGCAGTCATATCACACAGACTTATGTTAAATAAACAGGCCCAATGTACTCCTCGATGCTGTAAGACTACGAATTCTATCTTCATAAAATCCAGTTGTTACCTTTAATACATCCCTGTCCCTGAGAAACCCTGTAGGCCACTTGGCTTAGGGTTCAGAAAACAATGTTCAACTCAGTCACAGAAGACAAATAGAGGCCAGCAGGCCATTATCACCACACAGAATATGGTCCCATGCATGCAGACAATGTGGGAGAGTACAATTCCAGACCGCAAGAAACCACCTAGTTCAGGAGGACCTGGAGGGTCACAGGCAGTGTCCAGGAAGAGAGCTGGGGAAGGGGCTCTGTCTTATAGCAAGAATGCGCCTCACCAAACGTGGATGGATTCTTTAGGGGTTCCCTTCCTATACACCTCATGTTGTTCCTAAGAATGCATTTGAGAAACCTGGAAAAGAGAGGCTCCAATATCTCATTAGCCAAATCAGCCCCTGGCCCACTATACTCTCTTATAGGAAGAGAGGACAACAAAAAAGGAAAAAAGGACAATAAATGAAAAACACACAAACAAAATAACAATGACAAAATATCCATCTCGTCCCATGGAGCTCTCTTTTTTTGAGAGACATATTCTACAATGGAAGAACCAGCTAAATGAAAAAGAGAAGTCACAGATTTTTCCAAAGCAGTTCATTTTCAGGTAGAGACCATGCTGTAGAATGTGAGATTATCCAGCAACAATTGTCCTTGGAGTTGTGAAGAATAATATTAAACAACTGACACAGTAACTCTGTCCTCCTACCTCTGTCCCTCTCTGAATGATAACATCTGGGTGTATTAATTTGAGAAAAAATTCATTCAATTAAAAAGTAATTTTGAATACTGTGGGATAGATATTGTTTTGACAGGAGGAGGCAGCAATTAGATGGGTTTGAAAGGAAAGAAGGAATAGATTAATTCCTAGATACAGGCCTGCCCCGTTCCCACCTTGCGGATCTAGTTCCCCAGTCTGGGTGGTTATGGCAAAGGTGGCATATGGAAGCCATTCAGTGTTCTTAAGGCATTTTGTTTGGCTTTGCCAATCCAGCTCAGTCTGGTCCACTCCCCTAGCATGTGGACTGGAGAGAGGGACTCACCACAGGTTGAGCATTTTCAGGCAGCTACAGAGTGTATAAAGAGAAAAAACACAGAAAGGAAGAGAGAGAAAGAGATATTAGTCCACAGACGTGAGATAGAAGCGACTCCCTGTGAGCCATGCAAACATGCAGTATGTTGTGTCTGTGTTTAGTTGCTTCCTCTGTCAAGGTAGGCCCAGGCCACTTGGTCCCCACACTAGAGTGGAGGGGGCAGGTGCCTGATAGAAGCATCATGATGGCAGCTGGATCTCAGTGAGGGGTAAAACAAAACAGAAAGAGAGTTGATGGGTGCCCCAGAGTGGGCTTTCCTGGGCATGTTCCAGGACGGTAATGGAGCAAATGATCCTGCTTGTAAGAATTCAATCGAGCACCAAAGCCAAGCCAAATGGTTCCCACATGAAGTGTTAGTGTGCAATTTGTTAAGCTAACCTCCCGACTATTCTGAGGCTTTTACAAGTCTAACATGCCTGACCAAAGCGTCAGCAGTTAGCTCCTCTTCTCAAGGGGAGACAGGCTTAAGAGACACTTATTTTATTAGGAGAGGACTCAGAGTGAGGAGGATCACTGCTCTGGATGAAGGTATAACTGCAGAAAAGGGCCTAAATCTCATTCTTATTAATTTTCAGGGGAAATGAAGCCCATATTTGCTAATTTACAGCAGAAGTCAGTGGATAACCAGAAATCCCAGCATTCTTACTGTAACAAAAGTCAACCAAAAAGCTGCCTTGCCTTACTACCCTTCTAATCATACTTAAACTAGGGCATGTGTCCTGTAGCTAGCAAAAAGGGACGTTAGATGTTCATTTGTATATGGAACAAAAATTAAGACCCTCTAAGTTCTCTTCTCCTTTACACAAAACAAGCTGGGCAAGGAACCCCAAACTAAAAGCTTGGAAGTGAGGGTTTCACATAGTCTCCCCAGTACCCTAGTTAAATCTCAATTTGGGCAATATCCTCTTTTTTTTTTTTTTTTACAACTAGGCTGCAAGGACAAATGGCATCACAGCTGCCTATATTGAGGGGCTGTCTGGGACACCTTGTGCTACTCTAGCTGTGACCTCTTCCTGTGAAAATGATCAATTAGGTGGACACATGGCTTGCTGGCCTGGCCCCCCCCCCACACAAATAGAAGACCAAGAAGAAAAACATATGGCTGTGCCCTGAAAGTTCACTGGTGAAGATGGATTGATAGCTCATGAAATCACTAGGGCCGTGGTCAGCAAACCACGGCTCGCGAGCCACATGTGGCTCTTTGGCCCCTTGAGTGTGGCTCTTCCATAAAATACCAACTTCTGTACATGGGCCACGAAGTTCCAATCGCACTGTACGTGCGCGCCTGCATGTGGTATTTTGTGGAAGAGCCACACTCAAGGGGCCAAAGAGCTGCCTGTGGCTCACGAGCTGCAGTTTGCGGACCACTATTCTATAACATCCACAAAAAGATTGAGCTTAGCCCAAGAACTATTAATTCCTTCTTACTCTAAAATCTTAGAGAAAGTATCTGAGAGGAACTGAATTCAACTGTCACTTTTCTTCACTAAACAATTACAAACCCCTTCTCTAGGCCAACCCCTTTGTTAGATACTATTACAATGACTAAGGCATAATTTATTCTACTAGAGCCATGGTCAGCAAACCGCAGCTCGTGAGCCACATGTGGCTCTTTGGTATTCAATTGATAAATGAATAAAGAGCAGAGCCACACACAAGGGGCCAAAGAGCCGCGGTTTGCCGAGCCACAGTTTGCTGACCACTGCACTAGGGGAATCAGCACACAAAATGCCCTAAATTATAAGCTTTTGGATGACATTTGGTTAAATACAATTGCTCCCCTCTGGTCTCCCCATCTTTAAGGCCGAAACCTGAAACGGGTAGCAAAGAGACACAATGGTTCCTTTTTGCTAAATGGGGAGACATTAAACTCTCTTTACATCCTAGAGTTTAGATTACACCAGAACAGAATACACAAAATTGGAATCTCTTTATGAATGACCCCCTATCTTACATACAGGACACAAACACCACACTCACATACACAATTAGTGTATACATTTACTGAAATGAAATGAGATGAATGGGTTCAAAAGATAAACCTGTATAGGGCACATTATAAGATTAAAGCCCATTCTATCTTGATATTCAAAATGTTATTAAAAGCAGAGCTAAATTTCTAGTCTTCAAAATAGTAGCCACGGCAGTGAGTTGGAAGTGAAGTGGGGGTGGGAATGGGTACAGCCATCTTTCAAGCCCAGACAATGTTGGATCAGACCACACCTAGTGCAGTGGTTCCTAACCCTGACTAAACATTCAAATCACCTCAACTTTACAAATTCCTAATACTTGGCCCATATTCCAGATAAATTAAATCAGAATCTCTAGGGTCAGGATTCAGAAATTTGTCCAAAGTACACCCAAGGTTGAAAACCCATAGGGAAGGAATAAACACACTGTCTAGTTAGCAGAAGAAAGTTCTGTTATGGAAACTGAAAAACTGGGAATACCATTAGTATCTCCGAAGTCCCTGAAGATGGGAGCATGTTTCCTTACTGAAATAGTCTCTTCCTGGCATTAGAAACTCCCCTGCCCTCCTATGTATGTGGCAGGGCCTTATATAAACCAGGAGAGGAGCACCAGAAGCTGCCCACAGTCAGCAGGGACTCGACAGGAGACAGTTTAAGTCATCCTCACTTGCTTTTTATCTACTGGGTAGGAATCCTCGGGACCTGCTTTAAGAAAAGGATCTCCTGGAAGCAAAGCGAGCCAAGCCTGTAGATGGGGCAGTAAAGGATTGGGCAGGAGGGACAACCACGCAAAGTGTGTCTGGAAGGAAGAAGAATGCTGGTCTTGGAGGCTCAAGAGACCACTTAGGATGCAATATCACTGTACCGAACAGGACGCTGGGGTAGCCTGAATGTTCTCAAAGGATTTACAAGAAAAATTATCCAAATCAGGCTCGGCAGCAGTAACTGATTTGTAAAGGACTTTTCTCTTCCTACCTCGTGTCTTCTTGAAGGTTAAACCTGGATTTGAATTTGGGATGGGGCAAGAAGATAAAGTGATAGGATTGCTGCTTTTGTAGTAGAATCAGCAGTTATTTCGCCTTCTACCCCATATTCTAAGAGTTTAAACACAGACCATGCAGAGAGCACCAAGGGCTGTGGTATGGACAGGGCGAGACATTCACATGCAAGAGCATCAGAAAAGGGGGTGGGGGAATCTCCTCACTCTTTTGGGATTAGTGTGATTTCCTTTCCTTCTCAAGATCCTTCCCACATAGGTACAGAGACTATTTTCCTTGCCTGACTTATCTGAGTCTCTCTGAATCCAGAATCATTTAAGTGAGAACAAAATCGCCCTGAAACCCTTGCTCCAGGGCTATATATGCAGAGTGGTTAGCCAAGAACCAGAAGTTTTATGCTGTTCAGCACAGCCCATGGTTGAGATAAGCATTTTTCTGTGTCCTACAGGGAGTAAGAAGATCCAGGGCACCAAGAGGCTCATGACTACTCTCTATTATAGGTCTTCTATCATGATTCTTTTCGTTCACTATGTCTTTTGCCTCATGTGGACTAGAGAAATATGACTGTCTTCCGGAAATCACAACTAAAGAAGGGCAGCAGCAGCAGCCTTACAATACCATGCAAAAATAAAATGGTCAAAAGAAAATAGCTATGGACACAAGCATGAGGAATTCAGTCTGAGATGAGCAGCACACAGAGAGGAAGAGACAGGTAAAAGATTTTTCAATCTATGACTCGAGAGCCCCCTTGAAAGATGAACATACTTAGCTTCCTCCACTACTTCCACCTCAGCGTGAGCTGTGATTGGTGCATTGGAGTGGGCTCCTGTGGGGTCATCGACATTCAGCTCTCCATTGGTTGAGCTAACCACCTGAAACAGAAAGACAGAGTGTGACAGACACCACGACAATAGGAGCCTCCTGCCAGTGCCAGAGAGAGTCACTAAGGGAGATCTGGTCTCTTGCTTAGGAATTAGTCAGGCAGTGTCTGGAATGTTTGTTTTCCTAGGTTGAGGGCCAACTGTCCTAAGTTAGGAAAGGTTCCCAGATCTTATCATGTGAGGACACAAAATTCAATGATGTAAACATATAATGATGATAACTTCCATATGAATGCCTACTCTGTGTCAAGGACACTACTAGATTTTGTGTTTGTGTGTGTGTGTGTGTAATTTTAATCCTTACAAAAATCCTATGCAATAGGTCATATTACTCTCTTTAATTCTATTCCTCTTATTATGCTATAATTATATATAGATTCAGTGATGATGTTAAAAAATTCTACAAAGGAGATTAATAGTGGGCATCAGAAACTATAAGCAATCACACTTTCCTTCAAAAATTTCTTCATGGCTTTGACCATCAGTTTGAAGTTACTCAAATAAAAAGATTGCCACGTCCTCTCTGGTGAGAGGGCAGACGATAAGGAAACGTTCCCCTGGAAGACCAGTCTTATTTCAACCACCTTTATTTCAGGTTCAGTGTCATCCCAGGTCTCACTGATGGTCCCCGAATTGTAACTGAAGGCTCTCCTGTCATCTGGTTAATGTGGACCCGATCAGGCTTCTCTTGCTTGTGCAGTTGCTTCTGTCACCTGGTTTCATTTCCAACACATGATTCCTGCTTATGTGGGTGCTGGGGAGTGGAAAAGGGGACCCCGCTGCACAAACCACTCTGTTGTTAAAGATCTTGGCTGAAATATGGGAGAGAACCACAAAATAGAATAAACGGTTCGGATATCATATGCCTTTGGGTAAGTAACTTCATTTACTTGAGACTGTTTCTTACAGTTTGATGTGAGAATTATACAAGAAAATGTATAAGACAGTGTCTGATATAATACCTGGTGCACAATAATGGAGGCAGCATAGCACAGTAATGGGCTCTAGGTTTAGTTGGCCCTGGGTTTGAACCCTAGCTCCATCACTTACTTACTTGCTGTGGGCCCTGGGGCAAGATCCTCAATCTTTCTGTGCCTGAGCTTCCTAATCTGTAAAACGGGGAAACAATGCTGCTTACCTAATTGGGTTACTGTGTAGACAATCCACAGAAAGTGCTTAGCCCAGTGCCATGGTACATAGCAATGGCCCAATAAATATTTGTATTACTGTTATTCTCCCTTTATAAATGTTTATTCTAATCTACTTCTACCTCTGGGGTCCTTACCAGCAATTAATTCGTAAAAATTTCATACATAGTCATAAAGAGGAAGGTGGGAGGTGGAGTCTTTAGGGTATTTATTCAAAGAAAAAAGAGCAGACAAGGTGAATACTACTTATTAGTAGTCTATGCCCACCATTATGACTAAATCAACAATATTTATTGTCATTAATAATACATGCTTTTAAAAAATTAAAACAATGTTGTATGGTTAAAGAAACCTACATCATTAAATTTGGACTTACCCAAGGGAGACCCCACATTTCTGCTACGGATCCAATTTAGCATCTCTGCTTAATGGAACCATCGATATTATTTATCTCCTGACATGTATATGTCTATATATATATAGAATCCTAGGCAACCGGCTGACCTTCGACCATCCAACCAGTAGCTATGATGTGCACTGACCACCAGCGGGCAGATGCTCAACGCAGGAGCAGAAACCACAGGCATGGGAACATGGAAGAGATGATGAATCTCAGAGGGAAGGGGGAAGGGGGGAGGGCGGGAAGAGATTAACCAAAGATCTTATATGCATACTAGAGGCCTGGTGCATAAATTTGTACACCTATGGGATCCCTTGGCCTGGTCTGCACCCTCTCACAATCCGGGACCCCTTAGGGGATGTTGTAGAGCCGATTTCAATCCCACAGGCTAGGTTGAGGGACCCAACCGGTGCACAAATCTGTGCACCGGGCCTCTAGTGATATAATAAATACTACATGACATTATCTATGTAGTATTCTTGCAAAAAAAAAGTTTTATCTGTATCTAAGTATGATGGAACAAACTGACAAATCCAAAATGTGGGACCATTCTATAGGACAAAAAGACTGGGCTCTTCAAAAAAGAAAGACGGGTGACTATTACAGATTAAAAGAGGAGATTAAGAATTCAAAAACCAAGAAATTGAAAGAGACTGAAGAGGCATAACAACCAAATGCAAGGACAAACCTTGATAAAATCTGAAACACAGTAGAATTAATTTTGGGGACAATTGGGGGAAATGTGACATGTACTATACATTAGATATTATGGAATTATTAATTTTCTTGGCTATAAAATGGTGTTAGCGTTACACAAGAGAATGTTTCTGTTCTTAGGAGATGTAGGTTGAAATATTCTGAGATAAAATGTAATGTTTACATTTAAATCGTTTAGTGAACACTCCCCTGCCTCCTTCAACCCCTCATACAGAATTAAAGCAAATATGACAACATCTTAATCATTTGTTAATCTAGGTTAAGGACATAAACAAGCTCATTCCATCCTCTACACCCTGCAACTTTTCTGTAAATTTCAAAATAAAAAGTTGGGGGGAAAACCAACAAAAACAAAAGTTTGAGGAGAGAGGGTTTACAGACTGGAGAACCACAGCTCCTCAAGCTAATGTTGCTCCGTTCGTTTCCTCAGCCTACATCTGCTTCGTGTGGGCACATTCTGGCTGCACACTAACGATAGTGCTGTAAATTCATTCTGTGAGCACAAAGGTTAAAGGAGAAATCATAGTAAGTTTCTTTTCTTTCTTTTTTCTAAAAAATATATATATTTTATTGATTTATCACAGAGAGGAAGGGAGAGAGATAGAGAGTTAGAAACATCGACGAGAGAGAAACATCGATCAGCCGCCTCCTGCACACCTCCCACTGGGCATGTGCCACAACCAAGGCACATGCCCCTGACCGGAATCGAACCTGGGACCTCCCAGTCCGCAGGCCGATGCTCCATCCACTAAGCCAAACCGGTTACGGCCACAGTAAGTTTCTTAAAGAACAACTCAGCAACTAGACAAGATGTGAAGTAAAACGTCTTGGCCTCTACTAACATGAACAAAGTGGGAATAAGCACCACCCTGTGATTTACCTGGTGACTTTGGGTCATGGTGCTTGCTCATGGCGTTTCACATGTCTCATACTCTCCAATTTCTCCTTGCTATGAAGGCCCACAAGCAATGTCCTCAGGCAATCGAAGGGAGAGGTTATCCTCACTTTACAGACTAGACAGTTGTCTGTATCAATGAGAACTTGGTCTCAAATCAATCAGGCACAAATGGGAACCTTAGTACCAGTTGTCTAGCCTTAAACCTAACTGCCCTTTAGGAATCAATCTGAGCCTCAGAGCATCCACAGAATTATTTCAAGATGGAGCTACAGTTCGTTAAACCACTGAACTGCTGCCTATATGTGCAGTGGAAAAAACGCTAGTGTAGGTGACCGAAGAGCTGGATTCAGGCTTAGCTCTACCACAATATCCTCTGTGAGCCTTGCTTTTTAACGGTTAGACTATGTCAATAATATTGGTACTATCAACTTCATAATTACTAAGCTAAGCACAATGATATAGAGCAAAAACAATTTGAAAAATTATAACCTTTTGAATATAGTGAATTAGTACTTTAAACAATATCATTTTTATATTTTTTCAATTGAATTTTTTAAGTAAGCTATTTCTTTAAAAAAAATAAGTTTTTGTTGTTGTTGTTGTTTAATCCTCACCCGAGGATATTTTTCCATTGATTTTTAGAGAGAATGGAAGAGAGAGGGAAAGACAGAGAAAAATATCGATTTGAGAGAAACACATCAATTGGCTGCCTCCTGCACGAGCCCCGACCAGGGTCCAGGCCGGTGAGGAGCCTGCAACTGAGGTATGTGCCCTGGAATTGAACCTGGCACCCTTTGCTTCGCAGGCTGATACTCTATCCACTGAGTATAACATAAAAAAAAATGTTTTTATTGATTTCAGAGTGGAAGAGAGAGAGGGAGAGAGAGAAATGTCAATGATGAAAAACAATCATCCACCAGCTACCTCTTGCATGTTCTCTACTGGGGATTGAACCCACAACCTGGCATGTGCCCTGACCTGGAAATTGAAGCAGTGACCTCATGCTTCCTGGGTCGATGCCCAAACGCTGAGCCACACCCGGCTGGGCTAAACTTTATTTCTGTATGTGGAATAATGACATTTATTTTGCTGTAATTGCTATTAAAATTAATCCCACATTTCCTGCCTATATCACACAAGAACAAAGTAATTAATATCTATGGGATTAATATCTATGAAAGAGACTAAGGTGAAGTACTATTTTGACTTTAGTCCTTAATATTGGTAATATCTCTTTGGGGAGTCTAAAAAATTTGAGTTATTACTCCCATTTTTTTTTGAAATATTAATGTGAAAAAAAATCAGAGCTGTGCATCAAAGGAAGAAGTGCTTTAACTGATAATCAACATTTCAATCCTATTTCTCACAACTAACCTATTTGGCAATTCTCTATTTAGTTTTCCTATCTATAATACTGACCTTAACAAGAATTGTAAATAATTAAAAATTATAAAGATATAAGCAAATAAATAATGATTAAATGTTAAATGTCATTCTTAAGTCTCAGGCTCTTCTTTGGTCCCACATACGGTATGTATAGATATTTCCTATATGTTTTAATTTAAACAACTTTAGAGTCATCTTTTTGAAAGAGAAAAATATACTGTCTTCTTGAATTTGGGCCTCTACATATGGAACAACTATGGAAATATTGGGAGGATGGGGCCATAGGGGACTGCCTATTAAATAAGTTGGAATGGGAGTGTCCGTGTGCTTCATCAGAGCAAACTTCCCAGAGTTCTGCACTCCCTACTGGGTAGGTCATGGCATCTGCAGGTCATCAAGGTTAGGCTAAGCATGATTTTCTGGTATTAGAAACAAGCCAGCA